CCTTTAGGTCTCTGAATCTGGTAATGAGGAAGAGGTTAAAAGGCATGCATCTTATACCTATCCTAGGATGAACAAACAACTTGGTACATTTCATCTGACTATCGAGCCTGGGGCGTTTACCGATTCTGAGATCGTTGTCATGCTTGGTGAAAACGGCACCGGCAAGACAACGTTTATTCGTATGCTTGCTGGAAATATACAGCCTGATGATGGTATTAAATGTCCCGCTTTAAACATTTCTTACAAACCCCAAAAGATTAGTCCTAAGTCAGAAAAAACAGTTCGTTGTTTGCTAATGGACAAAATTCGGGACTCTTTTATGCATCCTCAGTTTAACTCAGATGTCCTCAAGCCTCTTCAAATGGAGCGTCTATACGATCAACAGGTATTAATATTTTTCTTCATTTTTGCCCAACCCTGATTCTGGTTGTTCAATATGTTTATTAGTTTTTGTGCTACCATCTTGTTCTATTTGATATATGTTCCTCATTTATTGACTTATTTATTATATCTCGATCTTTAGCATTATCTATATAATTTTGCTCCTTTGTTAGCCATGTCCTGTCAATGTCTAATCTGAGCCATTATCGTACATTAAGATTTTGTTTTTCCTTATCCTGAATTAGGTATTTTCCAGCACTAGCCAAATACGATTTCTTATTCTGTTCATTTTCCTTAGGTCCTGAACCTCTCCGGTGGTGAATTACAAAGATTGGCGATCACTCTATGTCTAGGCCAGCCCGCCGATGTTTATCTTATTGATGAACCTTCTGCCTACCTAGATTCTGAACAGCGTCTGCATGCTGCCAAAGTGATCAAGCGCTTCATTTTGCATGTAAAAAAGACGGCCTTTGTCGTGGAACACGACTTCATCATGGCCACCTACCTGGCTGATAGAGTTATTGTATTTGAAGGGGAACCTGGCTATAATTCTGTTGCCAACAGGCAAGTTAATTTTCTTAGCCTATTATTTTTTAAGCCAGTCATTTCTATTTTTTACATTCAAAGTTTGAAAATTAGGTTATATTGCACGACAAACAGTACTTATATTCTGAAACCGACTATTAGTCTGCGAAAATTAACTATTGTATTCAGTATTAGAGTCCTAGTTATTATATAGTGTCCCCGAGCTTATTGAATCTCTCCCAAAGTAAAACATTTTAGGTTTTGAGTAAGGCAAAATTAACAGTTGTATTTTCTAATCTCGGTTTAATTTGTTTATTGCACTTCATAGACATTAACTGTCATATTCGTCTTGAGTAGAATTTCGAGACTCAGTCCATCACTTTAAGTGATATAAGATAGCTAAAGCTCTTATTAACTATTGTAAATTATACGTTTATGAGAATGGGATAATATAAGGTGATCACCCTGATAATTGTATCAGCTGGAAAACCTTTGTTAATTGCCATGGATACCAAGTAATAAATACTTTCGAAGCCAGAATTAATTTTTCCTTTGTAATTGCTTTCTAGGTGTTCTTGTGATTCACAGAGCTTGCAAATCGATATATGACATTACATAAT